AGTTCTTAGAACGTTCGAGGATGAACGTATATTTAAGTGGGAGAGAATGTAATGACCCGATCGGTCATTTTGAGCTCTAGCGCGTCGGTCGACGGTTTGAGGCCTTGAGTAGCTTCACTTCAGGTATTATGACTTGTACGTGTAGTCTGAATTGAATTTCGGGAAGTTCGGAGTTGATTTGGAAAGAAAATTCTAAATTTGTAAGCTTTAAGTTGGAAGAGTTGACTATGATTTGACTTTTGAGTACACGATCTTAGAATCGGGATATGAAGGTTCTAATAGGTTCGTATGATGATTCCGGACTTGGGCGTATGTTCGGATTGAGTATCAGGTCGCCCGAGAGCATTTCAGTGCTTATTGTGGAAGTTGGCATTTTGAAGGTTTTAAGAATTTCTTAAGTTTGAATTCAAGTGGACTTTGGTGTTATCGAAGTTCGTTTGGGATTCCGAGCCTTGGAATAGGTTCGTATTGTGATTTATGACATGTGCGCAAAGTTTGGCGTCATTCCGGAATATTTTGATATGATTCGGACGCGCTCGTCGAAGTTTAAAAGTTTTAAACTTTAAAGGAAGGTTTCGATCGTCGATTTGCAATTTTGATATTGTTTGGTGTGATTTGAGACCCCGATTAGGTTCGTGTTATGTTTTGGGACTGGTTGGTACATTTGAATGGGGTCCCGGGGGCCTCGGGTTTGAAACGGATTAAAAATGGATTTAAACTTGGAATTTAGGACATGCTGGTTTTGGCCAAGTTCTGGTGCAACCGCACCTGCGAAAATTTGGGCGCAGGTGTGGAGCCGCTGAAGCGGCAGACGAAGCGCAGAAGCGCAACAGGAGCTGGGAGCAGAGGATTGCAGGTGTGGAGTTTGGGTGCGCAGATGTGCATCCGCAGAAGCGGGGAAGGCACTGCAGCTGCGAAAGCTGGGTATTTGCTACTGGACCGCAAGTGCGGTCGTGTACCGCAAAAGCGTGACCGCATGAGCGAATTTTGTCCACATAAGCGGATTTGCCTGGCTTAGAGAGAACCTTACCTGCAATGGTTTTGTCCGCAGGTGAGGAGTCGCGGGTGCGACAGTTAAGCCGCAGGTGCGAAGGTCGTTGGGCAGTGGGGTGTTCTTAAATCCAAGACTTAGCCCATTTCTCTCACATTTTCATTTGGCTGGGTGATTGTTGGAGCTCTTGGAGGGAATATTTTCATCATCTATGTCAAGGTAAGTAATTCCCATATAACGTGAGTTAAATACATGATTTATATGTGGATCTGAACATGAAAATCAGTAGAAATTTGGGATTTTGGTAGAAAACCTAAAAATTAGTATTTTGGATTTTGACCACAAAATTGGACATGGAATTTGGAATAAATTATATATTTGAGTTCGTGGTGTTATGGGTAAAGTTTATCTTCGAAATTTTTTGACTTTTAGAGCAGGGTTGGGGATTGTTATGAATTGATTAATTATAAGCATTGGAGTATATTTTGATTGAGTTGCACATTGTTGGATAGTTTCAGATTGTTTAGCTTGAATTGAAGAGTTAGAGAGGCGTTGGAGTCGGTTATGGAACTTCGGAGCGAGGTAAGTCTTATGTCTAACCTTATGAGGGGGAAACTACCCCTAGGTGATGTAATTGCTATGTGATACTAGTTGTGGGTGCTACGTACGCACGAGGTGATGAGAGTCCGTACGTAGCTAAAGCATGTTTATGTCCGGGTAAACTTAGGACATTATCATGTAAATATTTGAATTATTTGAACTCATTCTGCTGGCTTAATTACTTGAACTTATAATTGAAATTGATTTAGAAATAAATATATGTATACTAGGTCGTGCCTTATCACCTTGAGTTATTGGCTAGTTATTTGAGAAACGGTAAAGATTATATTCACTTGTGCTCATGTACTGTTTATAAACACGTGTCTCGTGATTCGATAACCTCCTTCCTTTCTTGTGGAGCAGGCTGAACATCTCGGCAGTATAATAGATGCATCTATGATTCGTGCCGCTCGACCCTCGGCAGTGTACACATTATGCCGATTGTATCTCGGCATAATCGTGCGTTATATCGCTGGTAGTCTGAATGTTCACGAGATTATCCTTCCACTAATGCCTGGCCTTTTATATGGTATTCCTTATCCATATGATACTGGCACTTGATATATCTGAGTTGTTGAGGTAGAATACAAGACTGAGAAAATCATATCCTTTAAATTTTTTTTTTGGAAGATTATGTATCTTAGAGATTTACTCCATTATTTTTGTGTGCTTAATATCTGCTATGATTTATTATATTTCTTTATTGGACCTCTAGTAAGTATCGATGTCGACCCCTCGTCACTACTTCTCCGGGGTTAGGCTAGATACTTACTAGGTACGCATTGATTTACGTACTCATGCTACACTTCTGCACTAAATGTGCAAGATCTGACACGTTCAATTGGTGGTCATCTTGGCGCGTAGGCGCAACTATTGAGGAGACTTTATAGTGAGCTGCATTCCAGGCTACGTATCACAGCCCACAAAGTTTCCATCATACCATTTACTCTATCCTGTCTTATTTACATTCCAGACAGATGTTGTATTACTATTGTACTCCTTAGTAAATGCTCATGCACTTGTGACACTGGTTTTTGGGATGTCCTAGAAGTTGTTTGTGATTTTGCTTAGCATTTACACACTTTTATTATCTATTCTGTTAAAATTTTAAGTTTCTATGATTTTAATGCGTTAATTTCTTTATCTAATAAAATTCATGATTTCGAGAACAATAAAGTTCATAATTGAGTTGGTAGTTCACCGTTGGCTTGCCTAACGCCGACGTTGGACGCCATCACGGCCTATAGTGAGTTTTGGGTCGTGACAGCTTGGTATCAGAGCTCTAGGTTCACTTGGGTCTCACGAGTCATGAGCAAGTCTAGTAGAGTTTTGCGGATCGTTACGGAGACATCTGTACTTATCTTCGAGAGGCTACAGGACTGTAGGAGCACTTCCCTTCTTGATTCCTCATCGGTCGGTTTAGTCGGTTTTTTAATATCAATGAGGAAAATAGTAGGGACCCTCTTACACTTGACGACTTTTATTTATTTTCCCTTTTTACTATACTAGGTCCTAAATACCCCCCTTCACTTGATTTTCATCTTTAAATAAACCTTTTATGCCGACCCGACATAGAAAGTAGATACAAATTCAGTTGGGCGCGTGGAACAGGAATTTTAACCCAAATGTGACTATTCCAACGACTCTTTCTCTCTCTTTTCCTATATATTATCTTCTATACCCCTTCCTCCATTAAAGAACATATGTTGTGCCTTTTCTTCTTCATGCCATCAACTTTCTAAGTCTTCCAATTTCACTTCATGGATTCAAAGCGGAAGTTATTTTGTGCGTGTGGGTGTCCTCCAGTATTGAGAATTTTATCATCGAGTGACAACCCCGGGCGTAGATTCTTCTGTTGTAAGTACTATTGGGTAGGTTAATTTCTGAAATTTTTAAATGGGTTGTATTTTGTTTGATTTTCTTAAGTTCTGATTTTGTTTATTTTGATTTCACACAGTCTAAATGGCGAAGTCCATGTGAACATTTTGAGTGGTATGACCCTCAATTCCCTCGACAAGCAAATGTTGTGATATCAGGTTTGCTAAAGAAGAGCAACAATCAACAAAAATAATTGAAGTGGAAGAAAATTTTGAAGCTAATATTGTATTTTAGCTTGTTATGCAATGTAATAATGTATTTGGGTTTTTGTTTATAATCTTGTTAACGGAATGTCAGAAGATGTATTTGTGTTTTAATTCGATCAATGTAGTTTCAATTGTGTTTTAGTTCGATGAATGTACTCACCAGAAGCTCTTTTTGTGTTATTCAATATATTGTCTCTATGAAGCAATATATATGTTGGCAGATTTGTTCCAAATTCTTGTTGTTTCAGTTGCTCTCTTTTTATGGGTTTAATTAATTCATACAACATAGACTATCCTGCCATTTCATAGTGTACAGAGACGAAAATAACTGGAGGCATTCACAATGAATCATTACTCAAATAACTGAAATTCATTAACTGTTAAATGTTGTTGATCAACATTCAAATAGCAGCAATATAGTGAGTACCAGTTTGAACTGGTGCTTTAAATACATTCCAAAAATAAAGCACAAGCCTACAATTAGAAACACAAAAATAAAGTATTTATCAAAGAAACCCCATTTTAACAGTAAAAAAAATCATAAGACGACAATTTGAGATACATATAAAGTATTTAACAGAAAACCCTATTTTTTGAGGTTGTTACGAAAAAATCTAGTAGTCATGCATGCATGAGATGTAAAAATTCATTCTAAGTACCTTCAATTTAAAAGGCTCTAAGGCATTGTTTCTACAATCGAAACCCTAATAGATATCCTAATATGTATAAACAATATCAAAACCAGGTAAAATGCACCAGAAAATTAAACTATTTTCAATAAAAAAACTACTTACCTAATTGAAATTTCAGACAATAATCTTTCTCGTGACAAAGATTAAAGGCTATCGATGTTCGTCGGTTGAAGCAGCAACAGAAACTTATGGAAACCAGTATTGAAGTAGACTAAAACGGTCAGAAGTCAACAAAACCACTACTACGGTAATATCTAAGTCTTGAGAGAACCCAACACTACGAAAATACTCTCTCCCAGAGAACCATTTGAGAGAGAAGTTTACGAGAACACTCTAGAATTGTGATTTTTACCCGACTAGTTTTGGGAGAAATGAGTTTTATTAAATGGTGGGATCCAAAACACGTCAATATCTACGTGGATAGCCATTTGGACATGTTTTTCTACCGTGTACAGAGCGTATATATACTGCATACTTACTACCTCAACAAAGGGTTATTAAAAGATGAAAAAAAAGTGAAGCGGTATTTAAGACCCCAAATAGTAAAAATGGAACTAAATAAAAGATTTCTGCCAATATCGATTGACCAAACACACCCCCGTTGGTGAAGATTTTAATTGGACTAACAATTTTTGTTTCTTTCGATAAGCTGTGTGGTTAAACAAAAAAAAGAAAAATTTGGAACCCCTCAACTTAATTCTTATCATTTTGGTTCCCAATGCAGTGTGCTATGGAGCTTCAATTGTCTTCCACTTTCCTCTCATCCTCCACCTCCAGCCCCTATTTGATGATAGTCCCCAAAGAACATATAAACCAACAAAAAGCACAATTTTTGAGTATTAAATCATCAAGTTTAATTCCAGAAAGCACTTCGGGAGGCCTGCAAAAAAGTTCAAAGAAAGACCTGTCTCGTTTACTGAGAACAGAAGCTGCTATTATAGGTATCGAGAGGAAAGCCAACTCTCAGAAATACACTAACCTTTGGCCCAAAGCTGTTTTGGAGGCTCTCGATGATTCTATTAAACAAAACCGTTGGGACTCTGCTCTTAAGGTTTTTTTGTTTTTGTTTTTACTTCATCCACCTGTTGATGCTTCAATAAATTTCTGAATGCATTTTATAAGGGTTTTTTCTTGCCTTGTAGTTGAAATATAAGGAGTTAAAAATTCATAAGAAGGGATTCAATTCCCAAAAAAAAAAAAAAAAAAAAAA